TTTAAAATTATCTTCAGTGATGTTGCAAATAGCATTTCCTGTGCAACAGAATATATATGCCCAAGGCAGAGGAAACTCTTTGGGATGGATGATCAGAATTTTTAACCCAGTTGTTTTAAACAGTTGGGGCAGAAGCTATGGTTAACACCCTGATGAGAGAAATTAGAGCATGCATGCCTGCATAGTTTCTCCTGTGAGCTGAGGAGTGAAGACAAGCCATAGGAGAGTGGAAGTACAGCACAATTCCAGAGTGACAAAGCACGAAACTTTTCAATTAAAAGTTACTACTCTGGTTACTATAATGCTGCATGTTGGCATGTAAAGGCAATGCTTAATTGCTATCCTGTGATTGAGCAAACCCAGTCAGAATTATCTGTACCTTGCTGGCTGCTCTGCTTAACAAGGCTGTGCTCTGCTGCCCCTCTGCTGGGGGCGTGCAGGGGGGCCAGGGTACGGTCCTGCTTGGGCTACCACCCCGCTCGGGCAGCTGCTGGTGTGGCTGGCAAGCGCTGGGCAGTGGTTGTGTCAGGCTGGCTTCCTCCAAGCTCCCAAAATCTGTGAGCACAGTGGACTGGTCATTTCATCTGCATCAGGATCCTGGTGCAGAGAGGTCGCGTTACATGCAGCGACATTCCTCCCAGTGTCGCTCTTGGTTCTCACTGCAACAATGGCGAGTTGTGCTGCTCTCTGTGCCAGGTAACTGAAGTGTATGGTCAAGTGGAAGTGCTTGTTCTCCTGTCTGTGTGGCTTTGCATATCAAACAAATAACATTTTGTTCGTATGTGATTATGTCTTAATTGATTGCCAAAGCTGCAGTAAGGTTCATACGCCAGAATAACAACCTCTAGTAAACCAGCGTGAGAGTCCTGGGTTGCAAATTTAGAGCCTGGAAATTGTGCTACAAAGTAAAGTAAGGCGTGATCAAACTAAGAAAGAAATGCAATGCCCTGTGGTACATAGTGCTTGCATCTGCAAAAAAGCTGCAGCTTTTTACCTGTCGCCTTGAGCCTGGCAGAGTTGCATTCCTCGTGGTGATGTTCCGGTGGAAAGTCCTTCTTGTGATTACAACTTCTGCAGCCATAATGTATTTTCTTAATGACGCATCGCTGTCTCTGTCAGGTAAACATAACAGAGACTATAATTCACTAAACTTGGTGGCTTCTCTATAACTCCGTTCTGTCTGTGAAATTCTGAGGAAATCAGCTTACCAAGCTTGAAAACAGGGTGTGATGCAGCTAGTACTTTGTTTTAAAGCATGCTCACAGAAAGTGTGAGAGGCTATTTTATTTTTCTTCTCCCTATGTGTTAAGATTTCCTGAAGTACGGGACTTGGCGCTATTTACCTTAATAAATACAGTAAACTAATGCTGTTGTGCATTGCAGAGAGCTCTCTCCGTGCATCCTGACTAGGACTTGGGTGTTGGTATGCTTCAGTATGACTATAAAGCCAAATTAAATCTCTCTCCACAGTGAAATCAGGTTTATTACAGCATAATTTCCTTCTAAAACCAAGTCTCCTTTTAAGGACTTTTGTTGAAAATAACGAATGAATGTAATGGCATTAAATAATAAAATACTGTTATGATGCCAAAAATAACTTTGTGGTCTCTTTGATCTTCATGTCGGCTAAAGACATAAAATTCCGCTAGAGATGCTTGTAAACAAACTGAATTAATCCAAACAAATTGTTTTGAAAAATAGTGACTATAATAGATGTTGATTAAGACAGTGAATAACCTTGAGTTTTAATTTTCAATACAGCTTGAGTTCACTCCACGTTAATTGGAGTCACACCTCCAAGTCATGTTGTACTGCTCTGAAATCTGCGTATGGCTGCTTCTGTTTGTCTTGGCTTTAATTAATCATTCTCTTATTTCTTGGCAGCAGCCGTTATTGGTCAGGGAAGTATGGCTCCAGGTGTAGTCTTGAGCCTTTACAGCTTCTGCCTGCCTTCTGCGTAGGGTGGCTGCAGCATGGGCAGTCCCGGCAGCGTGGGGTGTTGGAGCAGATGAGATGCAGATATGTCTGTAGTATTGCCAACTGGCGTGCTGATGGGGACTTTCTCTGGTAGCCTTTAAGCCTTTCTTCTGGCATTAAAAAAGTTCAAATGTTATTTTTTCTACGCCTGCATTGTTTAGTAACATTCAGTGCATGTGTAGTGTAAGTTTCTATGTTTGCATGCTGCTTAATTTTTTGTTTCATCGTAAAGCATTACATGACTACCTAAGAACAAGAAGAATCCCATTTAAAGAGATGCAGACATATGTTGCTTATGTTTAGAAAAATAAATACATCTGGTTCTGACAACACATCGTTATTTTATGTGCTTCTAAAGGATGCACCAATTGATGTAATTATCTTGATAAAGAGTGTCAGTGGAGTTAATGAAGAGAAGTGCTCTGCTGCAGTGTCTATGCAGCTTGGCCCTCTGTGCACTTTGGGAACCTAATTTCTGGTTGCCTTGTTCTTTCAAAGTTCCCTTACAGGGCAGGGGAACAAGTAACTCACATGAAGCAGAAGCCCAGGAGCAGGTGGGTCCACAGGTGGGCGGGCAGTATGGATTTGTGCTGCACCGTACGTGGATTTCTCCCCAGGGATAGTCCCTTGGTATTATCCCAGCGGTCCTGTGCCGTTAAGGGCCCTCAAACATTGTGGTGCCACGCCGTGTGTGCATGCACTCAATCTGAGGTTGCTGAAAACATTGTTCTGGGGCAAATCTTGTGCCTTGTGGGTGTAACCGGTCTGTTCCTGCTCATCCAGAGCAGCACAGGCAGAAACGGGGCTGTGAGCCTTCATCAGTTCCTACAATGTAGCCTGCAAAGAAAGTAAATATTTTGCCAGACATGATAGGAAGCCTTGGGCTGGCTTCTAGGTCTTCCTGTAAGCTGGTTCACCAAACTACAGTTGAAAAAAATAATTGTTGCTTTCTAGGGTTTGGTTATCCTTTTTTTTGCCTGTTTTCCTTGTTGCTTCTAGTTTTGGATGTTATGGCCAAGTACATGGAGACTAAATCAGTAATTCAGTGTGTGTGACTGGCGGTGGGGATGGAGAGTGAGTTGTTTGCTGGAGTGCTCCGCTGGTTCTTTATTGCGTACTTCTCACCTGAACTCAGTTTCTGCAATGGGAGGGTAGCTGTAGGAAGGTTTAAGTGCTGACATGTTGAATAGCTGTGAAGAATAGAAGAACAGGAGATGGCTGAAAAGCCAAAGGCAGAGGAGTCAGTGCAGTGTAAGGGATGGCAGTGATGGTTTGGGATGTGCATGTTAACCCCAGGTTGTAAGCTTCCAAGGAAAAGTAAGGAAGCAGCCATAGGAGGAGGTGAGAAATTTCCTGGCAGTGTCAAAATAATTGGTATGAATATTGCAGCTGCATTGTTCAGAACATCCTTGTGGTACCTGAGATGTTGTGCGTGAACAGGACTCGGTGCCAGCATGGCAGTAACGGGGAAGAGGGGGGCGATGGCACCTTGCATTTTTGCAGGAGATCTTTGGGGAAGGGGGCGTTTTATTTTAGTTTTTAGTTGAAGCGTTTTAAGGAGGAGGAGAAGCTTCTCCCAAGGTTGATTTAGAACAGCTAAATGGGGTATCTGTCTGGATTTCCCTTTGGAGGAACTCATCAGAGGAATTTTATCTTTCTGTTGTCTACAGAGAGCCTGTGGTGATGGCCACCTCAAGTTGCTAGGCTTTTATGACTGTTCCCCTAACTGCGTGTGGAAGAAATTCCAATAAATGCTCGGTGAAAAATCATGTAAATATTTTATTCCTTAGTCTCTGAGAGAAAGAAGCTTGTGTTGTTCATAACGCTGCAGTATTGAGGAACATAATGCAGATGGCTTTAGTTCTGTCCCTACCCTGGCTGTTAAACACAACTTTCAGATATTTTAATCTATTTTTTTGACACCTGTGTAGAACTTTGTTATTAACATCTGATTTATTTGTGTGTGCAGTGGGGAATTATTAGATTCCACATCTCGTCTAAGGGCTTGCTCTTAATAAGTTGCTCTCTTCTGATGGTCCCTCAGAGCTTTAAGGAGAGATGCAGTTGTACTTGCTAACTAGAAACAATTCTTTTTTAAAAAATAACTAGCTATTACTGTAATGGTCATTGCAGGAAACATTAATTTAACTGCTCTGTTCCAGAGTTCCTCCAAATTTTGCTGGAATTAAAGGGTTGTGTCTGGTTTTCTTAAATACGTTGTTAGTCAAGGTGATGATGTGTTTATGATATTACAGCAGCATGGAAATTTGTGGCACTGTATGAAGACATTTTTGTTTCAGCTCTAATCATAGGCGATCTAAACATAACTTCCTGACTGTGAGAAGCACATGTAATATGGTAAACTGTCAAATATATGGGTTAACTGTCTGTCAGTCACTTATTCTTCTGAGCCACTGTGCCTGCGTGTGTACTCCTTATTTTCTTGTTTCGGGGAGGGAGTGCAGATTTCATTTATGCGTCTTGTCTAGGCAGTAAAAGAATCAGTTTTTCCAGCTCTAGCACTGGCACAATTACTATCAACTTTTTAAAAGCTTGGTGCTGAGTACAGACTGATGCCTGAAACTCCCTAGCTGGTGCCAAGGGGCTGATGAAGAAGCGTTGGCTGAAAACCTCCTGTTTAAATTTTTGTGAAGTGTGTACTCGGAGCTTACAGCTGTGTTTGTAGTTGAAGACGGAGCCATTGCTGTGTTACGCTGGCATTAAAATACAGAGTGTAATTCCCATGTGAATTGAAGGTGCTAGGGTTTAGATTTGCTTCCCCACTTTTAGCAAATGCAGTGCAATATATTGACCTATGACACAGGAAACTAACGTGAAACTAAACGTTACTAAGGGTTGTGAATCTGGATCTTTTTTAAATTGCTTGCTACTCTTAAACTGCCCCTTAACTAAATAGGTAACTAGGAGCTTAGAAAAGCATGCCTCATTAGAGTAGTTGGTATTTCATTCTCCTGTGGGTTTTTCCTGACTGTCTGTTCTTTTTTTTTCTTTCTTAGTCTCCATGAAGAAATCATTGACTTTTATAAGTATATGTCTCCGAGACCTGAAGAAGAAAGAATGCGGATGGAAGTGGTGAACAGGATAGAAAACGTTATAAAAGAGCTCTGGCCTAATGCGGACGTGAGTAGGACACTGTTCTATTTGTTAAAATATAAAAGCAACATTTTGTACCGGTTTACTTTGTGAAATATTGAATAATGAAAATACTATTTACTTTTTCCATATTAAAAAAATGAAAGGATTTCTGGTCAAATGAGAGACATGATCTTTATTGCCAGGCTAATACAGGTCAACATTTTCTACCACATGTAGGAACAAAGTCAAGCTAGACCTACGGTAGTCAAAGAAGGGAATGAGGAGTGGCAACATTTAGTCTCATTAATATTTATTTACTAAGATTAATTGGAACATATCAGGCATGCATACATGCTTGTAAAATACTGTGTTAAAAAAACCAACACCTTCTGAAATTATGACCTTCCTGGAAAGGTCAGTAGCAGGGCTTCTAGTCCAAAGACCTGCGATCTTGAATACATCTGCTAAGGTGGAATGCCAGCAATGCCACCTTATGTAGACCATGCTATTTTTTAATGGGCAGTTAAACTAAATTGAAATATCTTAAGGATAAAGAGGAACCAGATTTTGGTACAGAAAGAAACAAGTCTGTAGATCTCTATATATATAATGTTATATATATATAATGCCTCTAATGCCTCTTTCCAACAAAGATAGTTTTTTGCTAGCACTTTATTCAGTCAAAACAAGAGTTTCTCCTGTGCAGAGCTATGTTTTTTTTAATAAAGGTTGAATTAAAGAGAAGCAAGAGAAGCTGCTTTTATGACCCAAGATGGTTTTATGGGGACACAGTTGGATAAATGAATGTAGTTTAATTGTATCCCTCTACTAACACGGTGTTCATTTCCCAAATGCAGATCTGTAGCCATAGTCATCTTTCTGTAGATAACAGTAGGTGCAAATAAGGACTTGTTAGCTGGAATAGCAAACCAAATTCAGACAGCAGGATCTTTAGTATAAGGAATGCTCTTTGATCCTGACACGGTAAAAGATAGTGTTTTGACACAAGTGACTTTCATATTTTCTTAACCTGTTTTTTGGAATGTGTTTTTAGAAACTGGCAGAATAGGGCAGAGTATGAATTCTGTATCAGATATATGTATGTGTTGTGTGGTTTTGTGTGTAACATATACTCACACTTTTGAGGCAGTTCACATTGTTATGGGCAACGTATTCATGATGTATAATACAGAAGGAGCATGCTCCGCTCAGTGCCAGCCAACTTTGCACGGTTACAGGGAATTAATAGAGTCAGTACTACACATGGCTGGTAATTCTCTTTGAGCAAAACCAGTAATCTTTCCAAGGGAACTGTGTAAGAGACTTTAGCATATCTCCCAAGTGTTGTATAGCTCTCCTCTAACCCAGTGAAACGGTGTCGTAGGCACTAATCAAGAGAAGGAGTAGTGGGGCTGCCAGTCTGACAGGCAACAGTATAGGAAACAGCACAGGTGTGAAACAGTTCTTACTATGGTACACCCTGCCAAAGTCGTGTAGTAGGGGATTTCACCAAAATAACTGATTGCTTCAGCCTAGAGAAGATGCTGCTGTTGCCTAGGCAAGTTTGTGTGCTGCAGACTTAACTAGTGTGATGGGGTGAGTGGGTTTATCACCAGGGGATCTGTCTTTATTACCGCTGGCACGTTGAGTGGGGCACAAGAACTTAGTGTCTCAGAGATACTCTCTTTGTAGGACAGACTTAAATCTGTAAAAGCTAGGTCTTTTAAATGAAAAGTAATTTGTGTATATATATATGACTTTGGGGCCTTGAGAAAATAGGTTTTGCTTGAGCTACTGAAACTGGTTTTTGTAGCTGTGATCTTCTAAAGAAGGGGGAGCAAGTTACAAGCCCTACCACACAGTGACAGCTGACCACTGGGCTTAGCGGTGATGTGACTGAGAAGAAGCGCACACTGTGCAGTTGAAAACTGAAGTTCACTTTTCAATTAGTGCCAGTTAAAACTGCCATGACCATCTGCCTTTGCTGTTCTTGAAAATGTTAGAGAGCAAGAGCATGCCAGTTCCTTTTTCTCAAGTCAGTAACTGCTCTTCAAAGCCTAACTCTGCATTTTGTCTGCTGTTGCTACATCGAGGAAGAATTCTCTTGAATGCCCTTCTGTTTTCTGGAGGCTGGAAGGGAACCGAACAGTGACAGCAGCACACCAGGTTGTAACCTGGAAACTACTGTAATGTAATTTTTGTGATACTTACTCTACAGATCTGCTCGGGAACTGAACTGCTGAACTCAACTGTGTTCAACTTTGACAGTCTTTTGTTGTAATTTTTCAGTTGTTTGAGTTAATCACTAAACTTTTGGAAACCTGTGTTGGTTTAGCTACTTGTAAGATTTAAGTTAAGAGTACATTCTTTGAGGAGGTGGAGTGTTACCTGGTCCAATGTCCTCAGCTTTAGCTGTAGTGTAAAGCGATGAGTTAACGTTTGAGCTGTTCATTTTGAGCCACAGATGTAGTGAATCCAGCTAAAATAAACTTGGAAGTTAAACATACACATTTAGTTTGTAAATTCTCACTAAACACATAGGTAAGACATACTCTATGAAAATCATGGATCTAAATGTATAGAGAGCATGTGGAATGTGTCTGTGCACATACTTTTTTTTTTTTTTCCCCTGTTCCACTTAGGAAAAGGCTGAAAAAGCAGATGGAGGGAGGGGTAAACCTAGGTATCCTAAACTGTTACTTTATTTATAGAAGTTAGCAATTGTGTCATTTGCTCTCTTACTCAAGGGAATGTGCTTAGAAGGAAACATTCCTAGTAAGTGAGAACTGTTCTTGGCATCAGCAAGGCTCTGACCATAAGAAAGGCTTTAATTACGCTGAAACTGAACAACGCAAAACATTAAACTAAAACATTTTCAGACCAAGGTTTTTGACAGTTAAATATGAGAATGTGACTATTGAACAAATAAGTACATATACAGTGGAGTTTAGGAGACATTTGTCATAATGTCCTCAGCTTCGTTTCTGAGCATTATGTGGCCCTGTAGATCTGAAAAGAGGTGATGTGCGTACTTCATGCACTTCAGTTATGAAAATACTATGACTGGAAATGGAAGTAGGTGAACTCCATTTAGTTTGACAAACTTCAGAAAATTCTACTTCATGATGTAGAAGAAAGAGAAATTTAAATTGGCTAGGGAGAGATTTTTTTTGTTTTGATGGAGGGATTTTGGTAGCAAAGACTTCACAAGCTCTTGTGGGTTTCCAAGTTATGTTGTGCATGGTGAGGACATATTTGGACACATGCTGTAATTAAAGCTCCTTCAGGAACTTTGGAATTTAATATGAACAAGTTTGCAGAAGTGTAGGATAAATAGTAACAATAACATACAGGAGCAGGAGGAGTCCATTACAGTACTGTGAAGTCTTAAGTTATCTTATGAATGCAAATGCATAACTCTGTCCACATAGAATAAAAACATAATCATCAGTGTTGGCACACCATGAAAACTAATGCTCCCATCTCTCAAGTCATAATAGTGTCCTGTGTTGGGGATGCTTTAAATATGTACATGGCTACAGAGCTTCAACAGTTTAAATTCCGATTCGATAATAAATCAAAATCCTTTAAAATTTCTGTTCCAATATCTCCACTCTTCCATCTTTCCAGATTTGATGAGAGAGGGACTGAAGTGTGGGTGTGGGTTTGTTTTATAATAATACAGTGTTTTTCATACTCCAAATAGTTGTACAACAGCAGATGTTGTCTCATTCCTTTCAGTAAAGGTCATATATGTTGTATCAGTAAGTTTATGAATACTTTCAGGGTTGTTTATTCAATAAAGGCTCTCTTTACTGTGCAGCTGAACACACTATTTTGTTTGATAGTGTGAAAGCACGTTTAGTTTTTTCCAAACCCACCAATGGTTGTTTTATTGTGCAAAAGCACTTTTCAGACATTTTTTGGTGTCCAAATAAATCCTAGTTTGGCTGAACCCAAACAGTTTCACAGAGGATGCTTTTATTATTATCCTGGATTAAAAATAGTAATAATTACTGTTACATTCTTAGCTTTGTGATGCCTTTGTGCTTTTGTCAAGATCTAGTGCAATATTGGTGCTAGTTGTGTGGCATCTCTTGCAGTCTTTTCTGTGAATTTTCAACATGAAATTTACTGCAAGCATGTGCTTTTTGTTGCAGGTGGGGTGAGGGAGTAAAGAGAGTCAAGTGATATACAATAATCAAGAGGAAGCACTCATACTGCTTCTTAGTCTCCCAAAGTATCAAAGTACTTGCAAAACATCATAGTTTCCATCTCCCCCTTTTTCTTATGCTGAGGAGAAAAACATAAAAATTGGGTCACTTGACATACAAATAGGTGGCAATCAAGCTAGGGTATGAGACTCATTATAGCAGAATACGCAAGTCTGTACCGTGACGCCAGGAAACACATCAGAAGACTCTGGTTGAAAATTAGTCCAAATGTGTAGATATTTTCACTTTGAAGTTTCACCAGTCCCCCTTTGAGACTTAGCACATGAGTCCGACCTCCCTGCAAGGCTTGGCTAAGTTAATGGGAACGTGGTTTCGGACAGCTCACAATGGAAACCTGATCGTTTAAACCTCCAGTGCTAGTAAAAATCCAGCACAATAAACTAAATCTGTGGGATGTGAGACTTTCTGAAACTTTTTTTGTTTGTTGTTTAAGCAGAAATAAACAGAGTTGTGCTACTTGCTCTCTCATTCAGGAAAAAAAATGGAACATGATTTAAGTTTTTTTTCCTTTAGGCAAAGCAGTGGAAATATATTAAACTTAGAAAATGTGTTTAAAAACTGAAGGGTATACTTTGAGGTATAAAAACAAAAAATAAATGGAACTGATACTAGGTTTTTTTATGCTCTATCATTCTTAAGTGTTTAAAGATCTTTTGGTTTATGGGTTTTGCCAAATTTGTTCATGGTGAAATTTTTTACATTGCAAAAAGGGCTTTGTAATATGAAAAGCAAATTTATTAATATTTCATGGGTAATAACAATGAAGATTAGCCATTTATACTCAATTGAAGATGTAAATGCTTTAACAGAAAAGAGTACTTCTGTTCAGCACGTGCCTGTTAGCAATACCAAAATCTACCAATGGAGGGTAGCAATAACCAGCCTTTACAAGCAATTTAATAGAACTTGTTTGTCTTCTGAAGCCTGAAAATTTGTTTTCATATATCCTGTTCTTGTGTTTCAGGTGCAGATATTTGGAAGTTTTAAGACTGGTTTATATTTACCTACAAGGTTAGTAATTTTTCAGCGTAAATTCTGTACAAGAGAAGAAAACCCCTTGTGGAAGCTGTACCCCTGCAGTGATTTATCTCATCTCCCAATATCTGTGTTACTTGTGTGTATACTTGTTATATTAAGAAAGTGTTAAGCTATTAGTACCCTGCAAAGCGTCCAGAAATATAGTAATTAAGTCTATAATACATGTATCTATATAGATTTTGCATGTATAGGTAAAAGATCTGAATTACGATTTTGTCAAAAAAGGCCTGTTTTGTGATTTGGCTTCATTAAATGACTGAACCAAAATAAGAGGTTGGCCTTAAAAGAAAAGCTAAATTTTGTCTCCACAGGTGATTAAACTGAAACATTTAACATTGCCTTGTTCATGCTAGAGTTAGCACTGAAGAGAGAAGAATACAGAGCGGTTTGTTTCTTTCAGTCTTCTTTTGTGAAACCTGTACAATAGTCAACCTCTACCTTTTCCAAATTTATTACAAATTTTCATAAAGAGAAGTCATTACTCAGTGACACTGGTATCTTCTGTGTAGACATTGTAAGTGTTTTTGATGATTAAATAGAAATAGAATGAAAGGCTTAAATGGCTGCAGGGGATAAACACATTTAAATAGTGTTAAGTCTGAGGTTAGCACTTGAATTGATTTCTGTACTTTGGGAGCATGAGGAATTGATGTCTAGTACTGACTGTAAGTGATGGGTGGTCAAACTTTAAAAAGAACCAGCATTTGTGTGTTGGTAATTAATTCACTGTTGCCTTCTATCAAAGCTTCCGTTTGCCCTTGGTTTTCCCTGCCTGTCAGTAACTCTGGAGTTAATTTAGATTTCTGGTTCTGGGATTCAGAAAGACCTGCAGTATGTTTTTGATTCTGTTACTTTGTGTTAGAATTTGCCTAATATCCTTTTGCTTGAGCTGGTATCGCAGGTTAGGCACAGGGTTGTCTAGGTGCTGGATCTCTGACACTTTGCAAGCAGTGTCTGTCCGCAAGGTGACAACAGAGCTGCTTTTTCTCTCTTGGTGTGCATCAGAAAAATGTCTCCTGTCATTAACAGTCAGCACCAATAGTGGGTTTAGCACTAATTCAGTTTAGAGGAGAAGTGTCCAGCAGCATTTCCTTCTCTCCAAGCAGGTTCTGAACAGCGTTTTCTGACGCTGGCCGAGTGCTGCCGGTCCCTGTCAGCTGAATGGTATGCAGCTGAACTGCTGCTGAACCTGCCTGCCCCCGACACGAGATATTTCATCTAATGCAGATGTAGTTTCTTTAAGATGGTTAAAAGAGAGTTGTTTGTGAATCAGCAGACCTGTAGGATCTAGGGGGGAAAGCTATTCCTAAATGTTGTGGTGTTTTCTGTTACGCAGTTTTCCATAGCAGCCTGCTATTACAGCTGTGGGCTATATGCCGGCCACGTTCGTGTTCCAACAAAGCAGGGGAAATCAAAGAAGTTGGGGAGCAAAGAGGAGAAAGCTCGGGACCTCACAGTAGCCTCACTGTCTTTAGTTTGGACACCAGTCAGCTTTTGAAATTGAGTTTTGGCATGGAATTAGGGTGTTGGCTCCCTGTGTATGTGCGTAGGGGGGAAGTGTAGCAGGATGGAGACACCTCTTGAAGGAGCTGAGTTAATGAGCAAAGTTAATTAGATGGTTTGGTCTTATAGAACAGCTTGTTGCTTCCTGAAGTCAAAGTTTCCACATTTTCCTCTCTCCTTCCCTGCTCCCTGTTCTTGGCACTACGGGCCAGCTGCTTAGCATGCTCCCACTGATGCTCTGATCACACAGAAAAACAACTTTGAGTTGCAAAGAAGCAGGAAATTACCCCAGAATGTTTTGAGTTTTTTTTTAAAGGGTGGGAGGAGTTGGTTTCTGCCAGGCCCATTAATACATTGAATTGATTTGGTGTGGATTAGAAAAGGAGGAGGCAGGGATGTGCTTCTGGGAGTAGAGGATGGGGAATGGGACTTTCCCTTTCAGTGATAAGCTGTTAAATCGGCCTTACTGAGTAATACAGCCCAAAGGTGGTGATTCACAACAAGTTAATTTCTTGCTCTGAGTCAGTCTGGAGAAGCTGATCCCTCTCTGCTGACAGTGTGGCCTGAGGAGATTAATCTCTGGCTTTGCAACCCACTTGATTTGTATGTATATCTGTCCCCTCCCTTTGATAACCTGGAATGTTCTGTATTTCCCCAAGTAGAAGAGTTCATCCCAACCCCTTTTCTCAGAAAATTAAGTTATTTGGTTAAGCTACATTCTGCCAGCTTTATTTTAGTTACGTGTGGATGTTGGTTGTTTATCTTTTAAGTCTTTTAATTTGAATAAATCTCTCTTTCCATTTCAGTGATATCGATTTAGTTGTGTTTGGAAAATGGGAGACATTACCTCTTTGGACCTTGGAAGAAGCTCTTAGAAAGCACAATGTAGCAGATGAAAACTCAGTAAAGGTTTTAGATAAAGCAACTGTAAGTTTGGGGGAAGAGGGTATTTCCTTGTTCTAAGATGAATTTCTAATCAAAGATCTTGGTTAAAAGGATGAATTTTCATAAGCAGAAACTATTTTATATATAAATTTTAAATAGAACCAATAGAACCTTTTTATTTAGTATGATTTTTATTACTGACAAAATAATGGATAGTGCTCCAACAGAAACATTTCTTCTGTTGGGGAAAATAATTGGATTTTCCATATTCCACAACATATGCTTGCTTCTAAGTGAGGTTATACTAGTCATTGTTGTGAATTAATATGATTAGACTTGTGAATTTCTGGACACAGTTTGTACATAAGTAAATTATTTTTTCTTATTCCACATAAGCAGATGTAATACATTTTCACATAGAAGTAGTAAGTACAGCCCTGTATAGATATGTAACAATATGTCTTGTGCAGGATAGGATTAATTCCATTACAGCTTCCTCCCGTTGGCTAATTGTGAGAGCATGTAAGAGTGCTGGGGTTTAAACAGGTGTCTAATTGATGGCTGTTATTAGTAGAGAGAGGTAATTTGGAAACCACTCAGGTGGGGATATGTCAGAGTGCTCTCAATATCTTGTGCTTCTTCTTTGAACATAATTTTGATGAGGAATCAATGACCCACAACAACACAAGTGTGTCTTTTTTTAATATCTGTTACCATTTATCTTTATTTCTTAAGCATTTGTCTCCCTCTGGTGTTTGTTTTTCTCACTAGAACTGTGCTTCTGCACCAGGAACTGACTAAAAACAATTTAAAATTAATCACTTTGAAGATGAAGTGTTAAGTTCTGTTAAACAGGATAGTAAATTGAAAATAGCATTTCTGAGTTGGAGAAGCAAAATATATGTAAACAGATTGGCCAGGAGTGTGAATTCATCAATAGACAGGAGTCCTGTTTTCTCTATCTACCTCCTCTCTGCAAATTCATAAAGTGTTTCAGTTTTACTGGTGCATGTAAGTATGAATGGAACCAAGTATGTCTTGGAAATCTGTACTGATTTAATGTGTCTTTCTTTTGCAGGTACCTATTATTAAACTGACAGATTCCTTCACTGAAGTAAAAGTTGATATAAGCTTTAATGTACAGAACGGGGTTAAAGCAGCCCAGCTCATCAAAGATTTTATCAAGGTTAGGCAACACTATAATAAAACTACAGAGCTGAATATTTGATTACTTAATTTGGTTTTCTGTTTTACTTTGCATCCTTGCTAGAGATACACTTTCACTTGTTACTCTTTGCGGTCTGATACTATTGTGTGATGTTCTTGGGTTTTAGATATATTGCCCTAAAAGGTGGGAAGATAGTAAAATGTACAAAGAAACTCTGGAGAAGTTATAATGATACAATGACTAAGGAAAATGCACTAATATGTGTCTTAAATGTTCTGCTCTTCTAACTGTGGTTCCTTGAACTTAAAATTAGTAATAACCACACATTCCCTCAGAAAGTAGGAATAATCTTGTTCTAGATTGGATATTGTTTCAGCATAAAAATACTAATTAAATAGAATAAGTTAAATTTAGTAAGTTATTGTTCAAGGATTCACTAATACCTGTGTCATAGATACACTATCGTTATATTTGTTTAATACGTAGAACCATTTTGTTAGGATTAATGAGCTTTTGCATGTAGAGTTTTGAAGTACCATTTACACTTCTTCCCTTCCCTTCTCCTGTTCAGTGCATTGGACACTCATAGTAAATGTCTCATAAAAGCTGTAGAAAATTTTTATTGGATTTTCATGTTCTGTGCAGGGAGATGAAGTGCTTAGGTATTACTGTTTTACTGACTGCTTTGGTTTTTTGACCAAACTGATGAACAGCAGGAGAATCAAAGTATTTCACTAGCTAGACAAGTAGAACTCCTTCAGAAGACTCTGTAAATCGGAATAAAGCAAACACTTTACTTTCCATCATAAGAGTTAGAAATCATGTATGTCTGCTTTACTAATGTCAGTGAGATGCAAGAAGTCTTGCATCCGTGTTCAGAGTAAGAGGATGGGGTGGGTCCAGAGACCTTTCTTCTCTCGGCCTCTCTCTGATGAACAGAACGTGGTTGTGTTGGTGCCCCACCCTGAGGGGCAGAGCAGGTCTGGTGACAGCAGTCGGGGTCACCTCACAGTCCAGGCAGCAGCTGGCAGACAAGTGCTCAGTGAGGAGGACAGGGATGAGGACACCAAGTCAGTGTTAGGGTCAGGGTGGCTCGGGCAGACACCAAGGGGAACAGCTGAGATGAAAAGCTGCTCTCCAGAGAAGTGGGGGGACTCCCAGCAAGGCTTCCCGCATGGCGCTTGCCCACACGGCTGTTCTCCCAGCAGCCCAGGCCCAGGCTGAGTGGCTGTGCCATGCCAGAGCCGGCCTAGGGCGCGGGCGGCTGGGCCTGCTGTGCTGGGGACAGGGGGCACTCAGCAGGTAGCGACTGCGCTGTCGGGGAGGGTCGTTTGTTTGACTTGGAGAAAACTTGACGTGAATGTGCCAAGTGACTTCACTGGTGTTCTCGAGGATCTCTCTATAAAGCGCTTGCAGGGCATTCTCTGCGGGCTTATTTTGTCCCGCGTAACTTTGTGTACCCCCCTGAGGTGTCGTGTTCAGTGTTACCCTTGGAAGTGCCTATTGCTCCTCATCCAGTTTATCTAGGAAGTCTGAGGCAGCTGAAGCCTTAGTTAAAGGTTTGCAGTTCCCCAAAAGAACTCCTGTCTTTGAATTTTGGTATCTCCTGACACTCAAGACTTCAGCTTGTGACTGTAAGTTCTTAATAGTTCAAAGAGGTGATCTCGGGATCTTTGGTTAAATAGGGCTCCCGAGACTTGTGCAGAGAAGTTCTCGGAGAAATTCTTCTTTCCCTTTAATCTTTTGCGATCACAGATACCATGGTCCACATCTGTTCTCTGACACTAAGGACCTTTGTAGCTCTGTGTTGATAAAAGGAAGGATATTACCGAGCCTCTCTCCCCCCCTTCCCTGTGAGGGACTGTACAGAGTGCAGGCGTAGCCCCAGCTGGCCCAAGGGTCCATGTTCTCCGCACATGCGGCATGCACACACCTCTAAGGGAGTCCGTGCGGACAGAGCTATTGAAGGACCAGTTACCCAAAGGTAAGTATTTGGCTCCTTTGGAAATGCTGTCTGGGTGCAGTAATTTTGAAGAACTGTTTTGAACTCTGGGCATCTGAAGTACTTGCAGGACACAAGCCTGAGTCCAGTTGGTTGTAGCAGGAGGGTTTTGTTACAGACGTGGATGCCTCCATAGTTCTTCCTTTGCTTTCCTTTTCACTTGTATGAGAAAAACAAATGTATTTATATATTCAAACAAAATCATTCTGATTTCATAAGGTAATATTTTTTTTTTCTGTTGTTGATATCTGCTGCCAGACTTGCAGAGGTAAAATAACTCTTGATGGCAGGCAGAGCACTTGGCTTCTCCCCTGTTACTGAAAATAAGTTAGGATTACACCAAGCTTTGAAACTTACTATAACAGCTTCAATATGCTTTTTTAGCATCAGTTGTATGTATGCATCACTGTATCCTTAACACCTTTGTTTTTCTCTTTCAGAAATACCCTGTATTACCGTATCTAGTTTTAGTATTGAAACAGTTCCTGTTGCAGAGGGACCTTAATGAAGTATTTACAGGTGGAATCGGTTCTTATAGTCTTTTTTTAATGGCTGTCAGTTTCCTTCAGGTAAGCTTAATGAAATCTATTGATGCCATTGGTGCAAAAGGACAATACATTAAGAAGGAATGTAATCAGTCCTTAAATTTAAGCTATCCTGTTTGTGGTTTTGCACCCCCTTTTCGTTTAAAAAAGACACATCTCACCTGTCTTCTGTTCTTTCTCCCATACTGGTACTTTTGGTGTTAGAGATGTTTGGAACATCCACTGGTGTATCAGGACCAGGCACATGTGTTGTTCATGACAAAATAGCTTGACTATTGTTTAACTTATTTGGAACAAGCTACATAAGTTAGTGTTAAGATGGCATCTGTCCTTTATAACACTTGTTTTCCAGGTCATGCACCCTGTATGTGCTTTAGTGATGCAATGGAATTCCACTTGTTTGTACAGCTTTTTAAGCTGGTATCAAATAAATGTGTTTTACAGCTTTTTATTAAATCTAAGAGAACAAAATGCATGAGCTAAATCTGTATTGTTGTGCCTGGGGGAGAAAAATGTTGTAGAAATGTGAAGTAGCCAAGTTCTGGCTTTATCAACCTTGTTCTTTTTCTTGTACTAAATGTTATTGTATAACTCTGTGTGTGTGTCTGTACTTTTCCAGATGGTAGTTACTTTTAAACCTGAGCATTGAACTGGAGCTCAGTGTTTGCTGAGTGCTATTGCAGTTGCCTGCTGAGCACAAAAGAGATGAAGGCTACAGGCATATCATTTTGAAAGAAACCAAAATTTCTCCCAACCCAATTTTTTTCTTATGTTGACTAACAGCATTTCCATTTGCTCCTGCAAAAAAAGAAGTCAAGTTTTGTACCCATTACAAATAGGAACTGGTTTTGTTCATAATCTCTCAGGCTGCATATTAACAGTAGAAGGGATCATTTATATACCTGTGTGTATTGAAAGTCTGTATTTGTATTGCAAACACAGGTTTATGAAGCATAAATATCTTCTCTTTTTACAAGAACCCTGCCATTAGTGCTGGAAGCTCACTTACTGAAATGCAAGTTCAAATACAAAAATATTAATGCTTGCCAGCCTTATTTTTAAGAGGTAATTAGTTTATTAAAGCTTCACTAGCATCTTGTTTTAAAGATGCAAAACAGCTTTATCAAAGAAAGATACTATATTTAGACGTTTGCTTTATATATTATGTTTTATTATTATTTACTATTGTATTTAGACATGTTTGCTGTGAAAAAGAAAACATGCTTAAAGGGACTTGAAAATTGAGGTCTTAAGAAAATGATTTTTTTTCTTTCTTCTTAATAGCTGCATCCCAGGGAAGATGCCTGTATGCCCAATGCCAACTATGGTGTTCTTTTAATAGAGTTTTTTGAATTATATGGACGTCACTTCAATTATCTGAAGACTGGAATCCGAATAAAGGATGGTGGTTCTTATGTTGCCAAGGATGAGGTGCAAAAAAGCATGCTGGATGGCTACCGACCATCAATGCTGTATATCGAAGATCCGTTACAGCCAGGTATCAGCATAAACCAAGCTTTACCATATTGACTAAGAAAAAAAGTTAGGGAATGCTTAATACAGATGAGTTAAAACAAAGAGTAGCATAGAATGACCACCAAAAACCAAACAGAAACACCTCATTCGTGTCTGTGAATACAAGATGCACTCAGAACACAGTGATTTTCTTTAAGATGTTTTCCTTAGCAAAGGTTACTGTGTCACCCAAGAGCTGCCTGTACTGCAGCCAGGAGGCAGGGTACAGGAGGGCACGCCCAACAACTGTCATGTGCTCCATGGTGACAGCGATAAAGCCACAGCAGCAGGGGCCTGAGCATGGGCTAGATGTACCTGTGTGTACATGTGGTCCCTTTCACACTTGTGCTTGCCTGTGTTGCAGTTATATACAATATACAATGTACGTGTATTCTTACGCACGCTCTCCTGTTTGATGCTGTGAAGTCCCATAAACACGTTGTGGTTTCATTCTCTACGGTTACATTAAGGTTGATTGTTGACTTGGATGGGTGGCTTCTGAAATGGTGAGTCAAGTGCTGTTCATAGGAGAGTTAACATATTCCTGAGCTAAAAATATGCCATCCAGGACAGTACTGTTATATAGGTAATATGCAGTACAGGATTGTTTTTTCTTCATGTGTTGCACTTTTGCCCAGAGGATTGCCATTTTGGACTTCCGTGCATGTAAATGTCTATAGGTCTTTTGAGCTCTTTCAGATATTTACACTTTGCAAATCCTGTTCTACAAGAGGTGACTGCAGTGAGTTGGGACTTAAGGGCAATTTAAAAAAAAAATTAGTCTCCTGTCTGAAAGGAGATAACCATGGTTTCAGTCTTATTTATTTATTTAATTATATTCTTGTTTTAAGGTAATGATGTTGGGAGGAGTTCCTATGGTGCCATGCAAGTGAAACAGGCTTTTGATTATGCCTATGTTGTTTTGAGCCATGCAGTTTCCCCAATAGCTAAATATTACCCTAACAACGAAACAGAAAGGTAAATTTTATGAGTCTAAATCTCAGACATGAATATCTTATCTTTTGGTGTGTCTAAAAATGAATTGTGGTGACAGTTTTGTTTTGTTCCTGGTTTACAGTATATTAGGTAGAATAATTAGAGTAACACAAGAAGTGGCTACGTACAGAGACTGGATATCAAAGCAGTGGGGAATGCAAAGTAGGACAGAGTCTTCATGTAATGGTAAGTTTTGACTAAGCATGGCTGATAGGGGGAAACTTCCTGCATATTTTGATCATATAAATTTTGTTGTTGCTTTTGCCCCACATAAGGCAATGTATGCATCTTAATACTAATTTACTGTTTTGCTCAGTGGTGATGGACTTTTCTTGTGTTCTTGTCCAGAAAATTTAGGTTTGTACAAGAGTAAAAAGGCCACACCACATGCTTACTCCACTGTGATAGATTTGGTCAGTGTAGAGGTCTATAAAAAGTGCTGGCTTACAAAAACAGGCTTTTGAAAAACTTCCAATTTAAATTACACGTTACTGTCACACTTCCTTTGTCCTTTAAATGTAGACAAGGTTTTAAAAAGAATTAAAGTTTAACATATTGTATCTGTGCGGAAGCAATATTTAAACCAGGATTGACTGTGTAAGTGGAGTAAGTATTTAAAACAGAAAAATCCTGAAATATCAGGCATAATTCTTGTTATTGACAAATGGAAACACACAAAATCTAGCCAGAGAACTTGCTGAAAATGTCCTTTAAAATCATCTTTATTTTCATTGCCTGTATTCTGACATCACCAGCCAGTTGCCCTCCTCTTTTGGTGTAGGTTTATCTGCTGGCTGGAAGTTTTCAAATTAAAATTAATTTTAGTACTCCACAATTAATTTTAGAATGTTAGCTACTAGAAGTCTTCTCTTGTTAGAGATTAATCAGAGAAGATGACACAACTACCCAGGATAGGTTGGAATTTTGTTTATTTGTTTTTAAAGCTTTTGTTAGTGATTTCCCTCACTGTCCGTGTAAATTGAATGTAGTTCTTGGCCATTCATGTTTTATCAGTCTGTAGACCCTTGTGGCACTGCCGTACACCCTGGTACGTACCTGGTAGCCAACCCTGGTTCAGTCCTGCAAGCTCCAGAGCAATAGTTAGCTGCCTTTTGTGATGTATGTATTAAACTCTATGTACAAATACAGCTAGTGGGGTAACAAATGTATATTTTACAAATCAGAGGTAACTCCTAGTGTCTTATATGAGATAAAATGGTAATTAAAAAAAAACCCAAAAATAACCCTGTATCAGGAAGACAGTGGTGACAGTTACAGTGGCTGTCTTGATTTAGTTTAGCTTTAAGTTCTCTTTTTTTATTTATTTTTTTTTTAATTAAATTAAACTATCGATGAGTGAGATCTGAGAGTTCTGTATCTTGTATTTTCAGTGTAGGCTATCACACAAAGAAACCAGACTTGTCTGGAGTTCTTACAGCCCTAGCACCTGCAGCAGAGGAAAAGCGGGAGTTGCTGAGTATTGGGCATATAGGAATAGAATTTAAACCTATGTATTTTGAGTGCTGTTGAAGTGTGTCATGTTACTAAGCAGCACATCTGAGCTCTGTTACTACCTTCTTCCATGTCTTATCTAATTTCCACCTTGAACTGTGGGTAATACTTGGTGGTTTTCAGAGTGTACATTAATGGATCTTGTCAGGAAACCACCACACCCCCTGGGAGGTGCTGGCTTGCTGCACGCAGTAAATACACCCAAACACGTGCACGCGTGTCTCTGCGTGTATGAAAAGTATGGATGTGTGCGGATGTCTGTACCTGTCCTGCTGGACGTAACAGATATGTAATACTTGAGTGGGTATTAAAAAAAAACAAACCAATATATTTTACAAGTTAATGTGTGGTGATGCTTCTGTTTCATTTTTAATAGGTAATGGAGTAACCTTGATAGTAGATACTCAGCAGCTAGACAAATGCAACAATAATCTTGCTGAAGAGAATGAAGCACTGGGAAAACCTAGAAATAAAACTTCAGAAACACTTAGTAAACATTCTTCAAATTCCTCATCAGGTCCTTTATCATCGTCATCGTCTACACTGTCCAGCTCTAGTGATGTAGTAAGTACTGGAGGTTTTCCGATTTTGTTTCCATTTCTTTGGGTTTTTTCCCTGATTTGTATTGCCACAGAATACACGTGGAAAGCTCGGAAATAATTAGTTATTTAATCCAGAGTCCTAACTTGCATAAGATGTTACCTCTTATGCAATTTCTGCACATGTGAGTTGAGGTGTGTTTTGACACAACACCAGTAAAAAGTGAATACAGTGGATACAAAGTTACATAGCCCTCTTTTCTCTGGGAAAACTGTATTTAAAAAAGAAGACTGGTAGTCCTGGGCTATATGCTTTAAAAGAAAAAAGACACATAAAAAAATATCTGGGAGTTCTATTTAAAAATAAAAGACAAATCCCAGAATCAGAATCACACCAATACATTTTTAAATCTGTTTACTCAGTAAGAATTCTGTATTGAAAGAGTTTTGATATCTAATAGAATAAACATGTTTTCAGTTTTGTCCACTCTAGCTTTTTTTTTAAGGAAAACTCACTTTTAGAAAAACTCACTCTTAAGAAAGACTCACTAATACTTTAAATTTTCCTAAAGGATTCTGATGGAACACCTTGCAAAACCTCTAAACAATTGAGTTGTCGTCAGTCTACCACAAACAGAGTGGGGTCACAAGAAGTATCACTGGAGTCCTCTCAGTCAAGTGGGAAAACACAAAATAGCCAAACAGCCAATACATCCAGCAACACGAACAAATCTCAGGTTTGTGAAATGTTTGAAAACCACGGGGTACAACGGTAGCTTGTTCTGGAAAGGAAACACTGGGTTTTCTCGTCTCCTTTACACAACTAGAAAGCTTTGAGCACTGATTGTATCTGAAATCAGCCGGTTCTCCATTTAGCTTACACAGATGAATTCGCAACAGTGGCTTTCCCAGCCTTAAACACAATGAAATTGGATTGACTTTATTTTGGGAAATGTAGATTTGCCAGTAGTGTGCAGCTCTGTTGCACCCATTTCCTTTTTGCAAAAAGCACATCAGTCCAGTCTTTACTGCAGAATTTGAGACCTAATGGGACTTGCCTGCACTTCAGTGAAGAACAGTTATCAAAAATGTATGTTTAAAGCTATGACTGGGTGCTGTGTTAGCTGTTGATACTTGTTGAAATGTCTTTCATTAAGCGAGATGATACTGTGCTGATAACATGAAGTCCCTCTCATTTCCCCCCAATGACAAATACATTTATGATGAGACCTACCAGAGCTTATGCATTCAGGACATTTCTCACGTTGAAGAATGCTTCTATGACAACTCAGAAATACTATATGCCTCTATATACAGTATACTTTGGATATATGCAGTTGAAATTTTTATACTTTTTCTGAATTTAGGACGACTTTAATGTATGAAAAATAGTCTGGAATCTTCTGGAATATTATTCCTTGAAAAGAAGTTCTGAAGACTTGCTCTCTCCTACTTGCTGAGGATCTGTCTCTAGCTAGTAGTGAGACTGTTTACAAGCCAGGCTTTGGATATACCATGGATGTGTGTTTGTGTTATTACACAGAGCTGATTCTGGTGCTGCAATGTGAATATGATGTGAGATAGTCTACATCTGTAAAAAGATGTGATATAATTTTAGTCCTGCTCTTAAAAGAATGTTGTCTTAATTTTGCACAGAAGATGAGATTTGAGGAATCTTCATCTGTCATCTTGGATTATGGATTTATGTTTCTGTAAAACACTTTTTTGATGGTTGTGAAATGGGAGTGATAGAACAGTTGTTTCCTTTTCAGAATTCAGAGTGCTCTGCTCTGCTCACTTGACCTGCATGGTTTTGGGTCTAGAGATGAACATTTGTTTGCAACCACCAAAGTGAACTATTTGTGGTACTGTGTTGCTGTCTAACCAATGGCCTAACTTCTTTTGCCATATCAATTTTTTCGAGTGTGATACTTCCATGAGTTAACATCCTTGTTATCCAGAAACAGGATTGTGTAATTGCCGCGCTCTCTTCTTTTTAGCAGCGATTGACCGTGTTCTCTTTCTTTTACAGCATGGATCTGCACGGTTATTTCGCTCTTCTAACAAAGGCTTCCAAGGTCCAACAAACTCAAGCCACGGTACCTCAGTCACAAACAAACAACATCAAGGCAGCAAATCACACCATCAGTTTTTCCACGGCAAAAAGAGGAAACACAAGAGAGATGCAGCCCTTTCAGACCTTTGTAGATAGTTGCCTATTTGATGACTGTTCTTCTGTGTGCAATGATCTCATGCTACAGGATAGTTTGATAGTGACTCCTTGGATCTCTTCCGGAGCTTCAGACTGTTCAGACATTGATTAGCAACTGCATTTTTTTTTTCCCAGCTCGCCACGGAACGGATCATGAAGATTGATCACTGCAAAAAAAAAAAAAAAAAAAAAAGAAAAAAAAAAGAAAAAAAAAAATTTAAAAAATTTAAAAAAGAGGAAAAAGGCTGCTCATTTGATAAGTCATATGCTACAACAGGGTCATTTAGGATATAAAAGCTTGAATGTAAAGTAAATGTATTTCCCATCAGCTCATGCTGACCTGTAGAGGTAGTACTCAGTGTGTCTAGGGGGTGGTAACAAACAAATAAAACACAAAAAAATAGGAAAAAAAAGCAAAAAATTGTATTTTGAGGGAAACCCAGCCTTTAAAGGTGAAAGTAATTTGTGCATGATTTTTTTATTATTTTTGCATATACTTACCATTTTATTGTGTATATATAGATGACCATATAGGAAAACTGACATTTGTAATAGTGGATTTGTTAATACTTTTTACATAACATTACTGTTTAAATTGTAAACATAAATTTTTCTCAGGATTAGTTTGGAAAATAATCTGAATTGTCATCTTAACATCCATATAAAGAGACATTACTAGTTACATTGCTCAGAATTTCTTTTCTTGGCATTTAAAAGGTTTAATAGAACATTTGATCTGCAAAAGCTGTTCCTCTGAAAGAAGGGTTTATGGTGGCAAATGAAGTTTTCGTTTGTATAAAGTGTACATGCACTTTGTGTAGATGCTGAGCTTGCCATCTCGGAGAAGTAACCTTCACCTTGTTTTCTAGAGTGCCATCATTTCAGGCAATGGGGTTTTATAGTTGCATCCTTCTCTTCCTCCCCTTAGTGGTCTCTCCCTGAAGCTTTTTTTTTAAAAAGAAATATAAGCCACTTTGAGGGGTTTTGTTTGGTTGTTGGTGGTGATTGTTTTCTTTTCTCTCTCTCTCTCTTTTTTTTTTTTTTCCCCCCAGTTTAAAAAAAGACAACAAAACTCAGTTTGTTACAGAGGTTTGCATTCCTGGGCTGCATTAATCCTATGTCTCTTTGTTTGTGCCTTCCCTCCCCCTTCCAGGTCTGGGTTTTTTTGTCTTTTATATTTTTGCTAACTCCTGTAGGAGATAACTATTGAAGCTTTAAGTAAATTTTACAATTAAAGTATTTTTTTTCTCACTCCCCTCTTAGGCATTTTTATATTTACACTTAATTATTTAAAAACAAAACAAAGCAACTTCAAATAATGAAATATATTTTGTATTGCCTTAAAGACCCAAACCTTTCATATCTCATAGTATTTCTTCTTTGACCTCGTTATCATTTACTTTAAACTCCACATTTGTCTGGTTCAGTCACATTACAAGTCTAGGTTGCAGTAACTTTGATGCCATGAATGTGAATTAAATGTGTAGTGACGCTCACAGGCATAGCTTGGAATGGGAGTTGGGACACTTCAGCGGTAGAAAGTTAAGTGGCATTTACTTTCACATATTTCTTTAAAGAGGAAAGCCTGTACTTGGCATACGTGGCTGTATTTAATGCAGCTGTTCTGGAGACGATGCTTTTATAAAAAGTACCATTAGCTTTTAGAAACTTTTTTTAATATACATTTACAGAATACTACAGACCAACCTGACCTTTAACGGTGCAATGATTTTTAAAGTAAAATAATGCCAAAATAAGACCAGAACTGATGTCATCACTTAAATTAATAAACATTTTCCATGTGTTAAAGTGTTTTACTTCAATATGGAAAGTCATAACATTTACTCAAACACTAAGCTTAACTGATGTTAATTTGACAATATTTTTTTTTAAATTTTTAGGTTCATATTTTAATTTGATCAAATAATTTTATCAACAAGATGTTGAGGTTTTGTTCATAGAAACTAGTAAAAGTTGTACCACATTATGCATAATCACAGTATTTATTTTGTTTTAGATTATTGTGAATGTGTAGACTTATGTTCACCGCTTAGGGAACAATTATTTATAAATTATATTAATCCAGTATTGTTAGCTGCTATTAGCAAAACTGTTCCAAAACTTAATACTTGCGAAGATCTGTATCGCATTTACCACACTGAAGTGTTTTTAAAAGAATCACCCTCATTGTTGAAAGCAAATGTACTCTTAGGGTGCAGATATTAGTGTTCCAATAAGCATGTGATAATTTTAAGGTGGTGGTAGCGGGAAGTTAATCTTGATTCCATTGGGAATCTTAGGTTTGCCTCAATTTATGGTTTTCATAAATTTAATGGAAAATAGCTTTTCCTGGACTGCTCAAGTTTCTTTTTGGTAAACAGTATCTTTCTAAAAGAAAAAAAAAAAAAAAGAAAAAAAAAAGGAAAAAAAAAAAGCATGAAGGAAAAATTGAGGTATTTTACATTGCCTCAAATGACCAGCATTGTATTCATAAAATACTGTATATCTTGCAAATCTTTATTTAAACAGAACAGTTGAACTGTTCATTTTTCAATCTGAAGTAAAATACTTTCAAGACCTTTTAGTTTGCCTGCTCATTTGTCTTGTACATTTCATCTCTGTATTTGACTCAAGTCTAATTCCTTTTTGAGTTTCAATACTTTTGTGAAGATTTTGTGAATATATGAAAAATAAATGTTTAATCTAACTACTGCAGTTCATCACCATTCTTGACATCCTCTTTTTTCCTTCACAGTACTGTGGCAAGAGCAGACTACTCAAGGCACTTTGTAATGTTTTTGTAGTATCTGGGTGCTTCCTCAGCTGGTTGCTGGGCCCCTCTGCCTGGAATTTGGAAGGTTGTTTTGTTCAAGTGGGCATGGTCTGATGTGTTTCCTTCTAGCAGAGCTGAAGCAGAGTCTGTATGCCTGAGTGGAAGAATATACACGTTATAAAGGGGTTTTAATGTACGTTTTTTCTCTAAGTTCCCTCTGCACTTTACATAAGAAACTTGTGCAAGCATCTGTTTTCTTTGCCTTCCAGACTTGGGTTGGGTGTAGTGTTCCAGCTGCAGAACAGCAGCTGTCAAAGCCCGCGCTCAGGAAGGCACTGTGGAAATAGACAAAAGTTAATTTGAGTTACCTTCAGCTAGAAACTGTGTTTAGCAGAGTTCCTGAAGCATGGTTGGTATCACAAAAGGATGTTCGTAACTTCAGTTATCTTCCTTCCTTGCATAAATCAGTAGGGAGATGTACGCATTCTGAAAGTTCTTGTAGTCTTGCTGCTCGTAGTTTACCCAAGACCATCTGAAATACATCAATAAGCTGAAATGTTTATATGGCTTCCTGTTTGACATCAGATTGATTTGTTAAGGGGTTTTTTTCCTTTTCCTAAAGAATAGTTCAAAGAGTGTTTATAGTTAAAAGCTTTATATTTATTATTTTTTTTTTATTTGTCAGTCTTCTACTTTGTGGCAGAAAAGAAGCTGAAATGTAAGTAAATGTTCCTGTTTGTGGGACACGATGTGATTCTGTTTACTGACCTCCATGTTGTGTACAGCTTCCACAAAATTTACAGCTCTGGTTTTTCAATGTTTATAACAGACTTGTGTTCCTAGAACTGAATCTTTAGAAAATAATTTGTAGTCCAATGGCTGGTGGCAACTTTTTTAATGTTCTTTCAAAATGGACCATTTGCATTTTATATCTGGAGTCATCATGTGTGCATCCTAAATATCACGTGTGAGCAACTTATCAGAATACAGTCTCATCTTGAAAATGTATTGTAAACAAAAGCGGCCAGCCTTTTAACATCTTGATGGATGTTAAAACTCATGATAGATCTTAAAACCGAATGTGTGATTCCAGCTTTATTTCCTGAAGAGTAAAAGCTGTAGGAGAGTGCAAAGTATGCAGTTACTCAAGAAAGGTGTCTATTTACCTACTTAGGGGCTGTAACAAAAAAAAAACATTTGATTATTCCAGCTACTGTTAAAGGGCAAAAAGTAGTGATTATTTATTCTGCTTGAATAAGAACTTGGTTCTTTTGCTTAATGACGCAAAATGAATTTTGTAAGGATGAAGTTTAACATGTATTGAAACCGTTTGTCTTGAAAGGGCAGAATTTGAGAGCTTTATTTTCTAGCTAATTTGTAGTGTTTCCAGAAGTTTTCCTCAAAAATGTCTTCCAGTTGCAGTGACCTAAGTGTAAATGTATCTTAACTATATTTCTGTGAATCTTTTACCAGCAGTTCTGACAGATCTGTATTCATGGTTTCATCTGTAAGTTGAAACCAGCTTTGCAGTTCTCATGGTGCTTAATTACATGACGGTCGTAGATTTTCCCGTACCAAAGTTACTGTGTTCCTCCCCACAGTAATTTGCTGAGCCTAATTAACTAATCTTCAAAGGCTGATTGTTAGGATGTTTGAGATGATCCCAGAGAAATTATTCAACACCAAGAATCCTTTGCAAGTTACTTAATGAACAATGTCCTGAGTAACACAGGAATTAAAATTCAAAGGCCTTACTGGGTCTTTACAAACCCAACATTTGTGTCAAGTGTCTACTTGAAATAGGAATGAAAGTGCCAGAAAGTGGCTGTTACTTGTGCATTTTATCATAGTAGTGCTAGATCAAGTTAATCTACATTTCATAGTACTCTAACATTTGCATCAATTAATTTTGAACAGCTTTTATTTTAATCCGTAGTATATTTCGTGATTTCCCCACCATGACCATTGTATCGATTTGTGGACCTCAAAAACTTCCAACAGAAGTGTGGTGCCCTTGTTAGGCGCCTTGACCATACTGTTCGACAGGCCCCGCTTGGCAGGAGCTTAACAACTGCCTGCTCCTTCCTGTGGCAGTGCAAGCAGTGGTGAACTTGGATATGTGTGAAACTAGGGGGGAAAAAAAAAAAAGGAACATGAATCTTTAGTTTGCTGTAAATTAAGTGGTGAAAGCTGATGGGATCCTGAAAATCACTTACGTATGCGAATAAGGGAAGACAGAAGGAGTCTTGTCAGATACTGAATGACCTGAGCAGTGAATCTGCTCACCATCGAAGCATGTTGAAGGTTCCTACGTTCTGCAGCAGGTTTAATAGCTGCAAAGTGATTATCAGCAGACTGATACTGGTATGTCTTGGTGCTGCTCTCTCCCGCGAGGGGTCCTTGAAAAGATGTCTTTTTCATCCTTGGTGGCTCTTGA